GAGAGAGAGAGAGAGAGAGAGAGAGAGAGAGAGAGAGAGAGAGAGAGAGAGAGAGAGAGGCGGTGGTCTGTCGTGCTCCGGTGAATTGCGCGAACGAATCGTTATCTTTCCGGCGAAGTTGGATTGACATCTCGCGGTGAAGTCCACATAACAGATCCATCCAACTTGAGGGACTGTAGGCCAAGGGGGCTATGTGCGAGGTAGTTAATCTAGTGCATGTGAGCTTTTAGGCCACAACGTGCTCCTGCGTCGTGCTTGTTCGTCTTCCCTGCAGATGATCGACTTGCAAATTTGGGAGCTCCATGACGGGAAACTGTCGCGTGTCATTCAGCAAGTACTGTAAGTTGTGTGAGTGGGGATGAATCGGATATTGAAGTGGGAGTTGCCAAATCACTTCACTGAATAAATAAAAAGTTGAACAGTAGACTGATGATTTGTTTCTTAATTTGAATGAATTTGAATGAATTTGAATGAATTTGAATTAATGAACTGATCGGTCGGTGGTGTCTGCAGGGGTTTGACGCGGGGGTTAAGGAGGGCCGACGGTTAAGGAGGGCCGAGGGTAAAGGAGTGGCGAGGGCTGAGGAATTTTGTCGAAATGGCGGTGGAACGAGCGTTCCTGGGGTCCGTGCTTCAGCTACCGGGATGTCAAGGTTTGACCGACAAAGCAGTGGCATTGGCCACGTCGCCGGGGACGTCGCACAGCGCGATGAGAGTGGGTACCGGGCTACACGTGAATTCCGCCGGCGCGCATAAGGCTGTCCTGCTGGCCGCTCACGTGACATCGCCGGGAATTGAAGATAACGCGCGGCAGGATTTGTGCGGCACGCATCTGAAGGGTGTGGGTTCGTCTCGACTGCGCAGAGTTCGGTCACGCGGAAGCAAACGAGGGAGTGGCTTCTTCCGGGACTGTGTGGGGAATCGTTCTCGTCTCCACGTCATCGCTGCAGGCATGGAGAATGCCGGAGCAGGGAGAGGCCCATCCCGAGGCATCCCGCCTAAGGCTACGCCTGCTTCCCCGTCTTCACCTGTCACTCGCAGCCAGGCTGAATCTTTACGCGAACAGAATCAACGGCTGTTGGCGATGCAACAAGAGCTTCTGGAACAGGTGGGTTTGCTATCCCGCAAATCAATTGCCCTCAACTCTCTCTCTCCCCCCCTCCCCCCCCCTCCTCCCCGTGCCTCAGTCTCTACATACGTACGATGTGTCCCCTTTTGGAAAGGTGCGGATGCGTGCGTTGCGAGGTTCTGCTTTGCAGCTGGTGTTACCTCGGTGTTTCCCCCCCCTGCCCCCGCTTCTGACGTTTCTTAGTTCGTGTTGTCTGTGAGAGAGGATGCAGGTGTGCCCCTATCGTGGTGCTGTGAACACGACTGTTCCGTTTGAAGAAGAAAAACTATTTCGTTTGCTAATGCACGCTACGGCTTAAGAAGCTCAATTGACAGGTAACCCATGACGTTGGCGTTGGACTTCTTCTTTCGATTTCGTCGTATAGACGCACTCCTCTTAAGGGCCCGTATTGTGAGTGTACTCTCTCTTTTCCAATCATAACTACCAGTACTTCCCAAAATCGTGGCGCGTCGTGCCCGTTAACGCGCCACGATTTTATGAAACGTACGGGCCACTACAGGAGTGGCCAAATTCATCCAACTAGAAATGTTCTTACTCTATTTTTTCCCGCGGCCCATAGCTGGACCAAGTACTGGTGGTGCACCCTCGCTTCAGACCGTCGGGAATATCCCTCGTGGCCGCCTTCGTCGTCGGATACTCAAGGAGGTAGTTTATAATATCCTTTGGTTGTCCTTCGCTCTGAATTATGATTTGACGTAGTTTCTATTTTTGGAGAGCCTGGAAGACAATCGTGAGCGCAAGTTCAAGCGATCAAAGTGTCGTCAAATACGAACGTTTTTCTCAAGTTTAATGTATGTTGTTTGGTCTTTTCGGTGTTGTCCGTATGAGAACCACCTGTCTGTCAGAAATCCCGAATACGCGAGTTCATGCCTGACGTACGTCGAAAAAAAAAGTTGAGTTCGTCGATGCATGATGAGCAAGGACCTCACTTCTTCCACTGCATCCGAACGAAAAGACGGAAAATTTTGTACGATTTCTCGATTTATGCGTGCGTGCGTGTCACCCTTGCGCAGGGGTCATGCTAATCTACTCTGTATTGTTCCAATTTTACTTAATGTCGGAGAATTTTGGACCATATCTCGATTTATGCGTGTCATCCTTGCGCAGGGGCCATGCTAATCTTCTCTTTCTCTGTATCGTTCCAATTTTAACGGACGTCCCGCGGAAGGGAAACCAAGGAGGAAACAAATGTGAGAAAGACCCCCCAAGGGAAAAAAGAAAGTGAAAAAGACCCAAGGAAAAATATAGCAAGTGTATCATTCCAGCTTCTAGCTGATTATACACTCGCCATATTTTACACGACTGCTGAGTTGAGTGCATTGACTCAGAGGCCGGAAGTTACGGAACGGAAGAAATATTTTTTGATGATTGATTCTCGGAAACAGCGTTGTGAAATTACCGATACGACAACAATTATCAGAGTCCTTCGGGACATCCGTTAAAATTGGAACGATACAGAGAATGAAGATTAGTATGGCCCCTGCGCGCAAGGATGACACGCATAAATCGAGAAATGGTTCCAAAAAAAGAAACAAAAAAAAAAACGATTACGAGAAAAATTGACGGCGGATATGTTGGGGAAGCAGGCGGAAGTCCGAGAGCGAGAGCAATGATCCAAGGCCAAGGCCCAGTTGACCGTAATCTTTATTTTTGGCTATTGATCTTTGTAATCTATGGTCGGCGAAGTGGAGGATGCTCGGGACATCCGTTAAAAGTGGAACAATTCAGAGAAGATTAGCATGGCCCCTGCGCAAGGATGACACGCATAAACCGAGAACGATACAGAGAAGGGTAATTAGCATGATGGTCCCTGCGCCGCAAGGATGACACACATAAATCGAGAAATGATCCAAATAAAAGAAAAAGGAAAGAAATGGAGGATCCTCCCAAGTGGGACCTAAACCCTGGGGCGAGGTCCCCACTAGCAAAGAGGATTGGATTGAACATCTGAATCTGGACTTGTTTGTGGAAAGGTGCAGAATGATGAGATTGAACTTCTTTTCCGCATCTCTGCTGAAAACACGTCCAGATTCAGGATATTTATCCAACCCTCTTTGCTAGTGGGACCTCACCCCTGGTGAACCGTGTCTCGGACTACCTCCGCTCGTTTCCTGCTATAGGGCCTCGTTCCACTACTCTCGAAATGTGGTAAACGAGTCTCAGAGTGAATCTCCGGCTAGAACATGGAAAGATACACGGCCATGATTTTTGTCTTTTGTGCATTTCGAGAGTAGTGGAGCGCGAGGCCCATTTACGCATGTTGTCTTTAGACTTTTCCTCCCTCTGGTTTTTTTTTTTCTTTTTTTTTTATAGATAAGAGAAGATTATAATTGCGCGAAAACGGGTCCGGTCTCTTACATCTGTCCCGTGGCCACATAGGCTGAGCGAGGCAGTCCCGGCCAAACCCATCCCGACCACAGCCAAAGTTTGTCCTTGAATGGTTTTGACTAAGAAGACTACAATTTGACAAAAAAACAACAGCTAGGAGTCTACTGAGCCTAAGACCATGTTGCAAAAGGAAGTCTAAGAAAGGACCAAAAAAATTACTACAGGAAGTCCTAGTCTGGTACAAGGCTAAACAAAACAATCAAAACTCAAACAAAGAAAGCAGAAAATCGCAATAGTGGTGAACCGTCCAACGGTGTGTCCATGGTGATCAAACCCGAAAAGGATCCCCATCTGCTCCCAAACCACTTTACGGCCTTGGCCGAATAGCCCTTTTCCTGAACACGATATTCCCAATCTGCCGAAATGGCCTGTTTGATGGAATATTTAATCTCAGCTCTGCCCGTCGGCGGTGTCAAACGCTCCTCTCTCCTAACCCCGGCATTTCTGAGGTTCCAGAGGGTCCATAATATGGCGCCTCTGATGGTTTCTTCTGCATGTCCATATTGCAGCCGGGGTCTCGTTCTCCAAGCAGCGGTCCCTGTGAGGATGAAGTTATCCTCCCAACGGGAGTCCACCCCCGGGATCGGCACACCCGATGTATGTATGTATGTATGTACGCATGTTTTCTTTAGACTTTTCTGTGTGGGATGGACGTTTTCTCTGGACATTTCTCTCTGGTATATTGCCCTCTAGGGCTAGGTTCCACGTGCGTTTTTTCTTTTTTTCTTTTTTTGTTTGTTTTGTTTTTGTTTTTTGCGTGTGTTCGTCATTCCCGTCCATGGATCTGTGGAATTTACGGTTAAAAATCATGATCACGTGCAAGTGGGACGTAGCCCCTGCATCGAGTTTTTTTTTTTTTTTTTTTTTGAAGTGTAAATGCATAACACGAAAAATCCTTACTGAAAATCTCGGGTCTACGACGGCGTTTCCATTTGCTGCAAACAACGGGAAGTCACACTTTTGTTGCTGTTTTTTTTCCAGACTAGACTATACGACTAATTGAACTGGGGTGAAAGTGGAGCCTGTCACACAAACGAGGCAATTGCAGAATCAGGGAAAAAGAAAAAGTAGGAATGATAGATCAAGGTAGGTCTTTCGAGACATCCACGAAATTGGAACGGTACAGAAGATTTTTAGCATTGCCCCTGTGCAAGGATGAAACGGATGGATCGAGAAATGGTCCAAGGAAAAGGAACACTTTGGGCAGGTAGTCAGTCCCGTGAAGTAATGGGCCTCGCTCGACTACTCTCCACGTGTACGAAAGTAAAAAAGTAAGGCCGTGTACCTTGCCATGTTCTAGCAGAAGATTCATTATCAATTTGATTTGGTGAGTAGTGGAGCGAGGCCCAATGAATGATTTCTGTGATGCAGGCATTTACCAGTTCTGCTGAAACTAAGGGACTCGCTACACTACTCTACACTGTACAAAATGTTATAGCAGAAGATCCATTCTCATTTTGCAGATGTGGTGAGTAGTCGAGCGAGAGGCCCAATCCAATGAATGCTTTCTGCGATGTAGGCATACCACCAGTTCTGCCGAAGCTAAGGGACTCGCTCCCCTACTCTACACTATACATAATTTTGTAGAGCGCGTGTATGTCTGTCAGACCATTGAAAAAACGTCGGTTTGCTCCACTTACTCTAGAGCACGAAAAGACAGCTGAAATCCCTTTTGTCCGCCCAGACTCCAGGTTCACTCTCCAAATTCTGGCGTAGTGCTCCTCGTAGACGTACCAGGACTCTACAAGAAAGGGCAGTCGCAGGCTGGGGACTCTAAGACTGTGTAGAGTTCTCCTTCCTAATGTATTCTGACATATAAAAGTATTCCTCCCCCCCCCCCCCCTCTTTTTGGCAGCATGTCACGGGACTTCCCCAATGGCACTGATTCTCCTAGTGCGAGGAACCATTGGGGTAAAAACTGACTCCTTGGGCCTCGCTGCACTACTCTCGAAATGTGCAAAATGAGAGTGAATCTTCCGCTAGAATATGGAAAGATGCACCGCCATGATTGTCTTTTTGTGCATGTCGAGAGTAGTGCAGCGAGGCCCCTTTAGTAGCATTAACTATGAGGTACTATATATATTTCTACCCTGCTAAGCCTGCTCTTCTTTACCAAAACAGTGATTTCTATGGAACCTGCTCTTTTGTGAACAGCCATTCCCCGAACTTGCTCAAGTTCGCTTCCGGACTTACTGCAGCTAACCACTCGTTCCAACTCCACTCTCTCTTCAAGTCCTCTATGCCCCCTGAGGTGTATCCCTCCCTTGCATCACATGGTCCCTGAATTCGGCACAAATAATTTTTCTCAACAATTATTGAGCTTTGGTTTTCAATCCCTTCACTCGTAATTTCAATCCCTTCCCTTGTAGCTTTTCCTGTGTGAACCTGATTCTGATTCTGTTTCTGTTCGTCCAAAGTACTTAGAGCAGGATTGCTCTTGTCTGCGGGACTATCTGATCAGACCCTGGTCTCTTCTTGTAGTCTCTCGTCTTGCTGTAAGAACTTCCCACCAAGACAATTTATTACCCCATCCCAAATTATCATGCAAAGCTAACAGTAGTAGCCAATCCCATGGCATTCGTGCAACATAACATTCCCACCACTTCCCTTTCTGTTTCCGCATCCTCTGCAGTGCCACCTGTCTTGCGAGTTGTATCTATTCTCATCCCTTTCTCCTCACACAACTGGGTGTAGGTACACTGAGGTGCAATAACTGCCAAAGTAAGCCAACAATTTTTGCCCTCCAAGAGTTATGGATTGCTCTGAGATAGCATGAACTCCTGGTAAGGCGATTCTTCTCTAGTACTATACGGCGTCCCTTTTGTGAAGGGTATAATTTCCAAAAATGGCCACCATTCTTTGTCCCGTCTTCTGAGAGAAGTGTTTTCTCTCGGCCATCCCCACTTCCTAGGATTTGGAGTTCCCTTAAACCACCAGTACATCTGGAGAATTCGAATGAGCCTCCTGTTCAAAAAGTAGCAAAAAAAACGTATAACTTGGGGGA